CACACACACACACACTCGCTTTTAAACCAACCGTAATCTCCTATTATATTATAAGCGATTCTAAAGTATTAAAGTTTTTTATTTTTTTTTATTTTCAGAAAATCAGAGTTGCATGTTCGTGTGAAGAAGCTGACTCAACTTGTAACCCTCGACTTTTGTAGGTAAGTGCAACCACGCATATAATAGAAAGAGGAATTACTCAATTAGCCTTTAAAGAATATGAATTGCGCAGTCATGCCCCTTCCTGTTGGCTAGAAAATCAACTTCAATACAATTAAGTGTAACAACAACATCATTGCCAAACTCAGCAAAAAAACACCTGATTATGATATTATAATAATTTTCATCACCACCATCATCACAAAAAACAGCAAAATCAACAACACCAACAACTGTAACAAAACACAACAATAACCAACAAGAATATCATCAACAAACCAACAAAACAGACACAAGAACAACAACAGCAACAACAACAACAACAATAGCAATAACAACAACAACAACAACAACAACAACAACAACAACAACAATAACAACAATAAAATGTGGTTTGCAGGAGGACACTATGTCCAGTTTATACTTTGTTCCTTTTTCTTTTATTTGTTTCTCTGTCGTGGTTTTCCTTCCTCTGAATTCTCAAACTAAACAACAGCAGCAACAACAACAACAGAAAAAATAAAAACAACAACAACAACAGTAACAGCAACAGCAACAACAGCAGCAGCAAAGAACACAAAGAAGACGCAGACTTCACCAAATGTACCACAACCACTACGTAACAGCCACCACAACCACCCCAACCACCACAGCCGCCCCCACATCAACCACCACAAAAGCAAACCACCCCCACCAGAAAAACCCCTAGCACCATAACCACCACCACCACCACCATCACAACCACCATCTCAACCACCACAGCAACCAAACCACCACCACCATAAAAACTACAACCAGCACAACTACTACCACCACCACCACCACCACCACCACCACCACCATCACTACCACAACCACCATCACTACCACCACCACCATCACTACCACCACCATTAACACCACAACCAAATCACAACCACCACCAGAGGAACCACAATCACCACAACTTCCACAACCACCATCACCAATACCACTACCACCAACAACAACAACGCAAACACAACTGCCACCCCCAGAACAACAACAACAACCTAACAACCCACAACAAGAACTATAATAACACACCATAACCATCACAGTTGATATCATGGACTTTGCAAACCTTATCTCTGCGAAAATTCATTGTATGTGACTGCAACAAAGCACTCATAAGGGATACAAATGTCAGAAAGCAGGGGCTGGTAATGGTGCTTTGTAATGCAAGGGAATCCAATTGCACCCTGCTTTTCGATAATCAAGATCCTCTTACAAAGTTACCGATATCTGGTTAATGTTAGCATCGTTTGTCATTCATAACCATAACTCTCTTCTCTTCTCTTCTCTCTCTCTCTCTCT